CTGTTTGTTTTTTGCTTTGAAATAAAAGCAGTAAGATATACAATAACTGCAAATATGTAACAAAAATATTTTTGTGGTGTTTAAATGATCTAAACAGCAGAGGGCAGAAAGGCTGTGGAGAAAGTAAAAGGCAAAGATGAAAGCAAAAAGCACAAGACTTTCAAATCCATAACTCAACAATTTTCCACAATTACCAGTATTGTAGCATATTGTAGTTTTTTTTTATTACTCAAAGCCCTCTCAGTACCTTCCAATATGTTAAAAATGGAGGGATTACACTAAATTTTTTTTTATTTTTCTAATCACCGGAAATGTGGAATATGTCTCAGTTTGTGTTTTTCAGCCCAAGGTCAGAAAAGGTTATCAGTGGCACAAAAACAGCAGCGGTTTTATGATATAATGAGATACATGATGATACATTCTGAAAGTCTGAACACATGTGGATTTTGTGCACCTCAAGACTAGAAATACAACAATCAGACCAAATTGATATTCATCCATGCATCTTCTCCAACCTATTATGTCGGGATCATTGTGGACTGGTGTCTATCTCCAGCAGTCTATGGGCAAGAGGCGGGGTACATCCTGGAAAGGTCGCCTGTCTGTCACAAGGAAACACAGTGACATACAATCATGCACACACACACTCACACCTAAGGACAATTTAGAGAAGCCAATGAACCTAACAGTCATGTTTTTGGACTAAGGGAGAAAGTCGGAGTAGCATGAGAAAACCCATTCATGCACAGGGAGAACATGCAAACTCCATACAGAGAGATCCCGGGTCGAGAATCAAACTCTGAACCTTCTTGCTGCAAGGCAGCAGTGCTACAAACTGCACCACTATGCAGTCCATTAACCAAATTGATATTTAGTAAAAATATAAATACTTCAATTAAAGAAATACCATTAAATGTCTAGCAAAACATCTTATTGAAACATTATTTTAGCATGATACAGCTTAGTGTGCTCATCTATTGCACTAGATTCAAATTAAAAAGCAATATTTTTTTGATCGCTTTCCTGCAGGCAGGTGAACGCCTCAAGCAGCCTCTGATACACCAGACCTGGACAGACCTTCTAGTATAGCCCCATATTTACCTCCATCCATCTTCCAATCACCTCAAGCATTCCCACAGTATCATGCAATCACCGCCATGTGTCACCATGAGGATCAGTGTGTCTAAAATGATGTGAGAACTTAGTTTTCCTCAAAACGTTACGCAAATAAATTCAACTTTAGTTTTTTATGACAACACCTCCTTTTTCTACCGAGTAAAGATATATTCCACACCTTATACATGTAGATTGTAATTTGTAAAAGAAAACACAAAAAACGAATCAGCTTTCAACTTCCTTGTTTTGATCAATTATCTGGGACTCTTGTAATCTAAGAATATTAACAATTTAAGGGCATCAATACCTTTGCAAGGCACTGGATAAAATGTTTGAAGTCATATTTCGAGTTTAATATTCCTCATCTGCAAAAACATGCTTGTGTTAGCTCAAATATTCAAAGCAGTCATTTAAAGGTATAGAGGATGATCTTTAATTTCTGGGTGGATCCTCTAAATAAGTGGTCCTGCTAATTGTAATCATTCTGGTGGTATGTTTACATAAGGCCTTTTTCTGCACATGCGCACTTTCAGGCGTATGTGTTCAGCTACGGCTTCAGACAGTCATTGAAGCTCACCTCTCTCACTGCGGTTCTTTAAAAATGGCAGAGGATCGTAGGAGAAAAAGTGTCTACGAAGTGTGTGAGAAGAAAACAAAAAGCCTCAGAAGAGGCAGATATATTCCAGAATGATTTGCACAGAGATCTCGCCTCGCAAAGCATTATGGGATTTGTTGACACATCGGCCCACTGTCACAATACTGTAGGCTGTCATTACGCAAAAAAACAAAGAATTTCCGTTTCTTTGTATAAATAAAGGTTTTATGACTGAAAAACTATAAGTTGTTATATTGATCTTCCCACATCCTGAAGCAAGAACAGTTTTGCCGGTATATTCCTTCCTAGGGTACTTTAATGTTCTAGTTTGGTAGTTGGGGCAAGAACAAAAATGTCCCCAACATGAAATCCCTCTTCATTTCTAATGTTTATACTTCCACCAGCAATAGTCATGGTCACAGTACGACAGCCTTTGGCTGCTGATTGGAACTGAAACCTGAAACTTTTCTACATTCTTTAAACAGTTTTTGGCAGTGTGGTAGGGTTACACTGTCCTGCTGGGAGAGGCCACTGCCTTCAGGGAGAACCATCATCATGGAGGCATGTGCTTCGTCTGCAGTAATGTTTAGGTGGGTGGTACACGAAACAACAAAAGTCAACAGGCAGGCCACCCAAAGTCCTGCAAAAGATGAAAGTATGGATTTTGTGGTATTGTTCTTGTGCAGTTGGCAGCACAACTGTAGAACATTTTTAAAGCATCAGAATGAGTAATCATTACTGAGTATTTTGCATCAATCATGCTAACGGTACACGGAGATGTAAATAGTTCTGTTAAACGCAAGGAATACAGTTGCTGATGTTGTAACAGTAAAGTTGAGCATCTTTTGTATTTGTCTGGTTACATGACTGGGATCATGGGATGAAATTCTTATGACAAGTGGATTTTTCAGCAATTTCTCTTGAAGCAAAACAACAAAATAGATCAGATAATCTTTCTCACCTAATACAGCAATAAATATGTCTACTGTTAAAATGCTGAATGTTACAGATAAACCACTAATTGTCATATGAAATGTATACATAGATTTGATCAGAGGTTCATCTTTGATTTTCAGTATGTGTAGGAAATGGATATAAATGAGATATTATAGAAGCCGTATAGTTATAGTTAAGTTACATCAGATGCTTTTTTCAAGTTAAGAGTGTCTAAAATGTTAAAATTAAATTAAAAAAAATAAGACAATGCTTACATAATGAAAATTTCAGGCATTTACTAAGAAAATCTACAGATGCACCAACATATTTTTAAGGAAATTAGATGTGAGCTTGGTTAGAGGATGAAGGCAGGTATAACATGACCAACATGGCATTGCAACTCATATGTTCTTCTAGACACGGCCACAAATATCTAATAAAACTGTCAAGGTAAACAAATACATCAAATAAGCATGCTGGGGCTAATTTCAATAACCTGCAGCCATCCACCCAGCAGAGGTCACAGTGTGAACGCCAGTAGCTCTAATAAAATTCCCTGGAGGAATTCCTTGTTTATCCGACTCCGAGCGGAGTGAATGTCAGCTATGTGAGGCGAGATACGACCATATCATATCCCAGCCGCTCAGCAACAAAGAGGCAGACCACACAGGCCGACAAACACTGATTGATTAGACGGGATTTCTGTCAGAGCGTTCAAGTGCTTCCTGACATCAGAGGAGAAAATAAACTCTCTTGAAGAGAGAAAACAAGTCTGAAGCCTGAAAGTCCAAAACGGCGGGTCTAATCTACACTTCACTCTCTGCACTGCTGTGTTTGTATGAAATGTTACTCTTACAACCACATAAACACATAACATGCTAACCCCTGCCCGCCCTATACCCCATACAGCATCACCTCTGACCTTCCCGATGCCTCCTGGGCCTAATTACCCAATATGCACCTCTTCTCAGTGAACTATCATTTCTGTAAGTGGTGTCTGAGAGAAGTCAAATATATATGCTCATGCAGAACAATGCAGCAAAGTAAACAAACATCAAATGCAGTAAGCGTGAAGCAAATCTCAGGGATCTGCTTAGTAATGGCAGCTAAGATATCCATTTGTGCCAATCAAAAGCAGACACATTCAGAAGATAAGAGGTACAGATGAGGTTGGGGATCATTTTACTTTTTGTAGACTTTTGCGTCAGTTTGTCTGAAAGTGAGACGATCAAATGTGTCATTTAGGTTCAGTCTAAATCTAGAAACACATTTGCTGTAACATGATCAGTGTACAGTTCCTGGCAGATCTGTAGAATCATGTGACATAGATTCACTTTACAAACATTTGTTTATTTCTAAATCTGCTGCACTGGATTTAATTTAAAGGGAGCGCAGCAGATTTAGAAATCACCTTTGATTAACAAAATACAGCTGTCAGTAGAGAAAACTGCCTCGAAAAAACTGGTAGAAGGTGAACTTTGAAAGACAAAAAACTCCAAACCCAACCAGAGCTAGAATGGAGCCGTATCAGTGGTTCAGTCTGGCGTCAGTTTCAGATCTGTCTCCAGTCCATCATACCTAAATCAGAGGATTGAATGACTTCCTCAGCATACACGGCTAATTATCTGATTTAGGCATTTGGAGCAGTGACACCAGAGCAAGAACATCAGAGGATGGGAGTTTGACAACTGTGGTTTATTAAAGCGCATCAAAGGATTTGAATGAATCTGTCAAAGTCCAGATCCAGAATCTTCAAGATGGTTGGATAGCTTTGGATATTTTATTAAGAAAAACTGGGTAAACACGTTGTGACCATGTGTTTGCATATTTCAGAAACATAAACGCTTAAAAGACTTTAAAAAAAAACTTGCATTTATAACTGCAGCAAAAGATGATTTAAGAAAAAAGAATTGTGTAGGTCTATATGCTGGTGAAGATTCTCAGTAATCCAGGTCACAGTCATTCCAAAAAAAATTTAAAAAGAAAACAATCCACTGGACTTTGTTTCCGAGTTTTAAGAGATTTTGCTTCCCAAGTTATTTCAATTCAAAATGTCAGAAATAACGTTGAGGTTGAGGCTTTATAGAGTGGCCCAAAAACAAAGCCTTGCTTTGGCTTAGAAATGTGACTTAATGTTGGTCTATAACATTAAGTCACAGAGCATTCAGTCATGTGGTTACATGTAAAAAAAAAAATAAAAAAAAAAGTAAAATAGCGCAAGGGCTTTGAAGACTTTTACAAAGGATTATTCCTGGTTCAGCAGTTATTTCTGCTCCAAGATTATTTGTTTCTGTTTATAAAATAGAGTACATAAACATAAAGATTCTCACTCTCACTTTAAAGATCATCCTACCTGCTGATCCACTGGTCATCTTTGCAGCAACCTATCATGACAAAGGAGAAAGGGGGAGTGAGAAATGTAGAAAAGCACAAAAACAGAAGCAGTAAAATATACAAATGGAGGGTGAATTTACTCCAAAGCTCTTAGGAATGTAAACACAACTTCCCAAAAGATGGAGCCCCACTTCCATCACTCTGCTGAAATTGCAGCAGAAAAACTGGGAAAAGGAGCTAAACTTTGATTTCTTCCTCAACTAATTTCCTGTGTGGAGAAACATGCAGCTTAGACGTTTCCCTCAATTCATTAAAGGGACTAAATTCCTGGGAAAAGCTGCTTAAATCATAAAAATATGATTCTATTTGATTCAAGGAAAGGGGAGAGGATTGTTGCAGGTGAAAGACTGTATGCATTTCCTCTCTCATAAACAAAAAAATATATAATATTACAGAATGAGGAGGAGAGGAAATATATGATCAAATTTAAACTGAAGTGACTGTAAATTCAGCTATCAACGCATTCATTTTACACATTATAAAAACATTCAAAGTAGCCCTAATATCTATCAGAAAATATTCAGTTTAAAACACGGCTTACATATACTGTAGAAACCAGATATATACTGGGGGTGCAAAGACAAATAACCCTATTTTCTTTATATCTGACATTTAATCAGGCTGAAATTAGTCAGTTAGGATTAAAACAATTCTATTTATCAACCTTTTTAATGAGGTGACAGAGAACAGTTTAGAGGATATTCTCACAATAATTTTATTTCTTTTGGAGCCTGAGTAAGGGTTGTTAGACAACTTTGCTCTCACACAGAACACCAATACCTGCAGCCCCAAAACAGCACCTCAACATGAGGCTGCCACCACCGTGCTTTATAGCTTGAATGGTGTTTTAAAGCTTACAGCCCTCCCTCATTGCTCCTCCAAATGTAACGCTGCTCCTTATGCCCAAATACTGTCGCTGAATGCATTTCCAAGCCATATTTTGAGTGCTATTCCAGCTCATTTTGGTAAAAAAAACAAAAACAAATTAACTGTAAATAAAGACAAAAACATTTCCTTGCTTGATTTTACTAGTGCAAAGTAACCACCTAAACAATCTTATTTTGCCCAAAATGTCACCAGAGCAGTAAAGCTGCCATATGAATGGCATTTTTAAATCATTCTTTTGATGGGGTTTTGTTTTCGTTTTGTTTTTTGTTGGTTTTTTTAGAGCAGCGCCCAGATAAAATCCATATATTTTCTTCTCTTTAGTTAAAACATTCTGTTCAAAGTTAGTTTTAACAACACTACTGAAAGTCAGGATTGTTTTGCCAATTTTAAAGGCCTAACAGACATCTATCCACTATTAGACATAAAATTGCATCTGTTGTGATACACATTTAAATATCTAATTTACATCTTAGTGTAATTACGAGTTAACAAAGGTTTTGCTTTGGGAGGCTTTCTTCGTGAACTTTGTTGTTCTAGAGCAGCGGTCCCCAACCACCGGGCCGCGGACCGGTACCGATCCGTTGGTCATTTGGTACCGGGCCGCACAGAAAAAAAAATAATAATAATAAAATATATATATATATTATATAATTTATTGATTTTTTATTTATATAATTTATATATATTATATAATATAATTTATTGATGATCAGAGTCTGAGTGATGTTTTATTTTGAAAAATATTTTTTTTTTTAAATTGGGTATTCTCTCCCAATTACCTGAATTAACCTGTGCCTCTTGACACAGGTTTTTATGCTGTTTATATTTGATTTTATGCCAGTCGTATCATTTTATTTGATCGTATTTACCCCCCACACTTTAAATGCCGGAATGTGAAAACATTGTTTGACATATAACCGCGCAAAAAAGGTTGAGGACCGCTGTTCTAGAGGATTCACTTTAGGATTCTAAGTGGGTGAAAACGAAACCTTTTGGTCTGTTCATCATTAAGCGGTTTTTGCAGTCCTGTTCTTTGTATGTTCTATTGTAATGGGACCAATTCTTAATCAATATTCAATAACGGTGAAATATGGCACCACCAGCTTGTAAAATGGTCTGAAAATGATGAATTTGGTGGCTCTGTACTTGTTTAAGTTCATTTTAATTTTCATCAATGTCTTTTGTGTATCCAGTTCAGGATTTTCCACATTAACTTGTTAAAAAAGGCTACACAAATAGGTTCTCCTTTTGTGGAAAACTGTTGACATGATAAAATTGATATAGTCTAACATATACAGTACGACTATTTTCCCAGCAGCTTTCTGATTTGTCCATATAATTACTAGTAGTCTGTTCTTGTTGCACACCATCATGTTTTTGTTGGCCGACTACTGCTAAAGTTGGATTGAAATTTTCATCGTCTGTCCTGTTTTTCTCTAGCTGTGAAGTGGAAGAAAAAATCATCTGTTAGAGACGCGTTAATCAGCATCAATGACTGCTGCTAATAAATCTATTGGTCCCATTTAAAAAATTTGTTTTTAGGATTACTGTTCTAAAAACAGCCACACAAAAAGCGACTCATGTCGTATTTTACCGATTTAAAGTTTCCCCTTTACCTACTGCATATGTTTCTTTGCAGACCTAGTGAATGTGTGCCCCTTTAAATCTTATTAAAATCAATTTTCCTCTTATTGTCCGGTAACTGAATTTACCTGAAGGATACTCCAACCCGTACTGGTTCAGAAATAGTTGTAGTGTAAAAGCTTAAACTTTACATTTATTTACATGTGTACTTGTGTGTATGTCTGTGTGTTTGAGAGGGAGGGAAAGTCCGTTTGCACAGCTGTGCTTTATCAGTCACAGTTAGGGGGAATATAAACCCAACCCTGCATCAGTTTCCCCCCCAGCCTCTCCCTCTGTCTGCCTACGTGCTCCATAACCCAGGAGTAAACCCTCAGCCAAACATGTTTACTACTGTATTCCGCTACAGGCCACTCTAAGATAAAATATAAATGACTTTCAGGTCTGAGACATTATTTCATGAGACTTTACACAAAGGATAAAACAGCAGGAGGGAAACTAAACTTGAAAGGAATAGGCATAAATATTGTGTTTGTTTATACATGTTTTTACTGCTTTGACAATCAAAAGTAATAAGTAGAAATCAAACTATAGAATCAGGTAATTTATGCATCTCTGATGAAGAATGAGATATCAGCTTTGTGATATATTTATGCAGACTACCTGGGCCAAACACCAGCTATCACCCATAAAGCATATGTTAAGCTTTAAAGGACTGAAACGCTTTCAGTTGGATGCCACTGTGGTGTAACTGGCATGGTTTGGAAAAAGCACTAAATCACTGTATAAAAACAGCTGAAAGCAGGCATGCCCTGCTGTTGGGCAATGTTTTAGATTAAGTGTGACAGAGTGCAGCATCAAGCATTTAGGCATGCTTCAACCAAAGTATGATTCATTTCCTAAGAGAATTAAGAAATTTCTCTTTATTGTTCTAAAAAAAACACATGCTTTGATTTTTTTTGTTCATTTCCACTTTCATTTCACAGCCACAAGCAAACTGATTTTACTCACACACTCAACTGTTGTGTTTCTGTTTATTTCTCTTTATAGTTCAATGGTTTTAAGAAAGAAAGAAAGAAAGAAAGAAAGAAAGAAAGAAAGAAAGAAAGAAAGAAAGAAAGAAAGAAAGAAAGAAAGAAAGAAAGAAANGATACACTAAGACCAATAATCCAAAACATGTCCTTTCACTTCATTTCATGTTTATGTGGCCCTTTAAACCAGACAGCCAAAGTGCTATACAATGAAATCATACAAAATACACAGAACAGATTTAAAAAAAAGATAAAAAGAACAAATATTTCTCCCATTTGTCTTCTTTTAACATTTTTTCCTCCTTAATATAATTTTAATTACTTGTGTCTTAGCTCAGGAATCGTGCCGACCACTTTCAATTATGCTATTTTAGGCCCCATTGTTATAAAAACAAACAAAACGAAGTTTCTGCTGTATTTCAGAGCAGACTATGACTATAAACTACAGACACTTTCTTTAAATCATTTGTTGGGTACAAAATGAATAAAAGTAAAAAAGGTCTGAAAATAATGAAGAGGGAAAAAGATCCACATCCTCTTCTTCATATTTATATATTTGCATTTATTTAGTTGATTAAAACTTTAATTAAAAACAAATTGATCACTTTCATTTTATAGTGGAATCATCTCTAACCATGAACTATGTCTCAAATGCACTATTCATCAAAAAGGTTTCAGTCCAAACAGCCATGCAGTGACCAAGTATTCAAAATCATATGAGAGGTGTTTATTTATTTCAAATAAAGAAAAGAAATCTAAGCTTAAAGAATTCGCTCTTTTTATCATCTCTTATCTGCCTGACGATTGTTGTTTATATTTGCTTTTCTTAGTACTGTTGTGACTGTGCTGACTGAGCAGAAAGTGACCTTGTAAATTCTGCTGTGTGAAGCAGATCCATCTCACTGTTTTACTCTCATCATTTATGAAACAGCAGGGGACATGAAGACCGGACAGCTCCAGACAGAGGGAGGAAAATGACGCATGACGTCCAATTTGAGGCAACAAGGTGACTCAAAGATGATATGTCAGTGTGTTCAAAAACACAGACCAGCTTCATAGATGTTCATCTCTCTATTTGTTTGTTAAGCAGCTGAACTTTAGGATCATATTCAAACAAAATAGGTAAAACTTTTAACTTAGAACTCATGGGAATCTCTGCTCCAGGCGGTAAACTAGTCCTATTAGAAACTCCATATAAGGACAGTGAATTAAGGGCTGTTTTGTCTCTAGAGTTCCCACAGATGCAACCAAAGAGCCTCACCCGTGTACGACGAGCTTGGAGATGCGTGGCAGACGTTAAGGAAGAGCGGGTCAGTGGCCTGCTGCGGGTCAAAGGTCGGGAGCGACGTCTGTTCAGCGGGTCTGTTTTATCTAGAAATTTGTGAGCTCCTTGATCCGGACCTGATCTGACGGTCATCCTGACCACAGCCTGAGCACTCTGAAAGGAAGAGGAGAAAATGAAATACAAATGTTACTCAGAGTCAAAGTTAGCTAATGAACTTTGGAGGGAGGGGTGGCCTAGTGGTTAGGGCATAGAACTTGGAAACCTGAGTTTGAGAGTTTGAGTCTCCCTGAGCAAAAGACCCTTAACCCCTGAGTGCCCACTGCTCCCCAAGGGGATGGGTTAAATGCAGAGAGTGAATTTTGTTGCACTGTACCTGTGACAGTGTAATGACAATAAAACGCTGGGGGGAAAAAAGAAATCTTGAGGAGAAAAGGAAAATCCTTATTCGGCCTTTGAAACAGGCTCCTATCGAATCACATCCTGTAGGTGTCAGCTGCATCTTATTTGTCTGGTGTATCTTGAAAAATGGGTTGTTGATTGTTTTCTAAAAAGAAATCGGCTAACAGTTTTCCATAGCCGTCAGGTGATCCTCAGGCATAGTAGCAGCATAGCCTATCTGTGCCCCTCAGGCTCTGATTTTAACCCCCTCAACTTTATGAACCCTGCCATCTCATAGCTGTATGACAGTTTCAGGGTATACAGCTTCCATATTGCTTCTGTGTTGATGACACTGACCCCAAATGTCTGAAAACACAAATTCCATGTTTTCTCCGGCTGTTAATTTAATATTTTATGGCAATGTGACTTAAAACACCAAGTTCCCTGGAACAACAGATAAATGGCAGATAAATGCAGTTAATTTTATCCATGATACCTTATTATCCATCCCTTTTATCCATGATCCCTTATTTCATATCCTGAAAGGATAAGGGATAATTTTTAACGGTTTAAAAATATATTTGCTTTGGTTATGTTTTGATTAATAGATTTGAACTGTTTTAAATTATGTAAATTTAATTTCTTAATCTGAATTTTTTTTATTCATCATGTCACTTTATTCATTCAGCAATTTTATGGTTTTAAGACCATGCTATAAAATCCAACCTGCATTACCTTCCACCTTTATTTATTGCAAATTAGCAGCACATCATCACTCCTTATCCTGTTTTTTACGTGCTGATCCATTTGTCTCATCATTATTGCATGAACCACATTGGCTCTCCGAACCCATGCTACTTTATATCTGCATTTGTAAAACAATCACAATGTTGATTCTCTCCTGCCCTTTAAAGTCATTTTTTTAAAAATAGGTTCATCAAGAATATATCTGACTTTTGCTGCTCAAGTTACAATATCTTTTTAGAAAGGCATGATTTTTGTTTGATGTTGCTTTCTTTCTAACAATTATCTAGTTTAAAGTGTTCATTTAATAATATGCAATTAAATTCCCAATAATTTTTTATTGCACATAGATTCTGCTTGTATTCAAACTAAGAGCAAAAGGTGGAATCATGGGAAAGATTAACAACAGGTACATAATGAGGAATTCAAATACATCAATTCAATAATCCTACAATTTACTAATAAAGAATGAGAGACACAGGTTATACCCTGGAAAGGTAACCAGTCAGTCACACGGAAACAGACACATACTGAGCAATATTACATAAAGTACTGATAGTAGAATCCACTCATGCATTGATATATAAATCCAGGACCTTCTGACTGAGAGGAAAACATTCTTCAAACTGATATTTAACTCTACTTTAGAGGACCAGACAAGTAAATCTTCTACGACAAACTTTTAAATGTTTATCAGACAAAAGGCTAAATTCTGACAAACCCAGCAAATCTCCTACAAACGCAGCATCTATGCAGTAAGCATCAAAATAACTAAATTTCCTTTTAAGCTAGTACTTCAATGTCTTAATGTAAAAAAAAAAGTTTTTCAGACATAGTTCTTCCCATTCGGCAGAAGAAAAAGCATCAGTCTATTTCAGCCTCTTACCACTCCCTGTCTTCACGCTGTCTGTCTCATCAGCAGCTGTGTTTCCCTTGTTTTATATCCTGTAATTTATAAGGTAGGAGATGAGGTGAAGTGATTTGAGACGTTTTATCTGCTCTTCTCACATTCTGAAAAAAAAAAAAAAAAAGTTTCCACCCTGTCCACAACTCTCATTCAACTTCTGATCTCAGCTGAGTGACAAGAATGGAAAGTCCATCCCGGCTTGACCCTGCGACTTCCCTACTGTACGCTCTACAGTGGGAATACCCAGTGCTGTGCTTCCCACTTCCCTCCTCCAATCAGACGCTGAGCTGATAAGATGTGTGAGTATCTGACAGGGAGGGAGGAATGACTTTCATTTCTGTAAAAGAGGATCTATTCCACAAATACTCGGAAAGACATCTCTTTTTTTTCCTGCTCATTTCAACACACAGTGCTTCTCTTTTCAGAAAATTCCCTTTCTTATCTTACAAAGGATTCCCATCATGGTGATGAATGACTGTTGCTAACTTTCCCGCTGTGTAGTTGGAGATGTGTCAAGGACACCGAGTTCCACTATACCCAAAATAATACAGAGCTCAGAGTTTCTCATTCATAGCTCCATTTAGGGATTTTTTTTTTTTTATCTTTTTCATTAATGCCTACTTTCAAAGTGTATTTGGAAGGCCCATAAAACAAAATTAGGAGCTATTTTACTTACTGGTCCTTCCAGGACAAATGAGCTCAAAATACTTTATGAAGAATAGTGGTTTAGATATATGATGGAAAGCTTTGTTCAAAATGATATTTTTTTCTGCAATCAGAAACCAGATGCATTAAGCATTAAAAGCCATTGCTACAATGCCAATATGTTTTATGATCACTTCTTTCTGCAATAATCACATTATGAATTGTTTTTCCTTTATGGATTCTAGAAGTGGTTCATGTCTGAACTCTGGCTGGGTTACTGTAACATGTCTGTCTTTAACATTTATTTAACACCTGACCCTCACAGTAAATGTTCATCATCTCTGAGGGTCCACAGCTACCTCAGGCCAGGTTCTTTTCTGCAAAGCATGTTTTCTAAAATAATTTCAATAGGATCCATTTTCTTGTGGTTGCACGGAAACCTGAAGCCTGAACCTTTGCTTTTATCGCCTAAAGAACATCCGCAGGATTAAAGGAATAATGTCTAATCTAATCTGTGCGTGCATCTTTATTAGATTTAATATGTGTGTCTTTACAATTTTGCTTAAAACTCAAACAGCTGCAGTTGATCCAGAAACCTATGCTCCAAGTCCTTACAAAATAAAAGTGGAGCGCATCAGCCCTGTTCTAAAGTCCTTTCACTGGATCTACATATATCAGAGATCAGACTTTATCAGTCTAAATACACTAAATATTAACTAAGCAGACATCTTCTGGCTCATGTCTACTCTGCTTACCCAGAACCAAGCATGGAGAAGCAGCTTCTAGTTCTTATGCTTAAATGATTTGGAATAAAGTCCCAGGAAACTGTAGAAAACTGTACTCCTAAAAATCTCAGATGCTTTTAAAGGAGAATAAAAACCTATTTGTTTAGAGCGGCCTTTGATTGTGCTATGTCAACATTACTGGTCTGCAGTCCAATATTCCTTTTTATTTTCATGTCATTTATGTTATTCATTTTTTATTATTATTTATTTATTCTTATTCTCTTTAATTATTTAGCTTCATTAATTATTTCATGACCTTTAAGCCACTGAAATGTACTTTTCTCTGTTTTCCTTTTTTCCTTTACAGCACTTTACATTTTCTTGCTGCTGAAATGTGCTTTACAAATAAACTCACCATGCCTTTGAAACTTCGAAACCATTACATTCCTGTCACCTGCTGTTGATTACTTCTCCTCTGACATTGCCAGTGTTCCTCCTATGTGAAAACTGAAATGTGTGAATATGAAGCTTTCTTTCAGAACCGGCTTTCTTCTTGACAGGTCCATAAATAACAGATTTTTGATGTGCGCAGCTTATTGTTATTCTGTCAGCAGATTCTTCCACCTAAGCTGTGGATTACTCCAAACTGTTACCAAGGGGCTCTTGGATGTTTCTCTGATTAATGCTCTCCATCCAAGTTTAAATGTCAGACACATTATTCAGATTTATTTGAACAAGCTGATTAAAATCATATAAAATTGTCTTCCCACCTCACAACTATGCACCACAAAATGTCATTCTAAATACATTAAAGCCGATTAGTGATCATGGCTATGTTCTCCAAAAGCTACAATGGCTTCTTGACACCACACAAGACACTTTCATGAAATAGTATCATTGTTTCTTTGTCTAATGGTTCCAGATGTCTTTTTTTATCAAATACAGCTTCTCAGTATATAAAAATATATTTCTATATAATTTTTCAGCTAAAGATTTTGCAAGCTCCACTTTGCTGATGTTGATATATTAATAGGTAGGAGATGAGGTGAAGTGATTTGAGACATTTTATCCCTATAGAGATAAAAGTGTGAAAAATACAATTATCCCTATTATCCCAATAGGGATAATCAACTTTGTCTTCGCAAATGTACATTACAGCAAAGACTGGGGGGTAGGTTTTTGGTTTGCTTGGTCGTTTTTATCCTTAAATGTACTGAAGTGAGTAACACACCTCGGAGGATGATCACCCACTTGATGCTCAGCTTATGGCTTTGTTACAAGAAAGTGATTTTTAGTTATTCTAGTGAACAGCTTGTAAAGATCTCTTATATGGATCTGGCTGAATAATTGGGGTCTCTGTGCTGCAGAAAAAAAAAGAGATGAATGCTAAAAGGACATTTTAGCTGCATTTAAATCTGATATGCAGCATCGTGAAATGTATTAATACACGGAGAAGCTTATTATCTACTTTTTAAAGCAATATTTCATTTTATATGCTAAGGCTTTTGTTGAAAAAAAAGTCCTCTTGCTGCTGTTTTTGAAAACAGGCTGTTCGAATAAATTTTATTGTGTTCCACTTTGATATAAGTCATGATATTCATTAGCATTTCAGCTCTGTGTTACATTCAAAGACAATGAAAAACCTACTAAATGGGTCAATAAATTTTTTTCTTTTCGCACTGCAGCTTCTCTGACATGTAAAAGTGTTGGAATGGGATCTTTGTGGTTAAATACAGGAATTTTACAAGCATTCCTAAAATTCTGCAAGGTTTCAAAGCTATTTGAGGACTATTTATTTACGCTGTAAGCATAATAAAGGTGGAATGTCATGTCAGAAAAGCACAGCAGAAAGGCCATCTACACGATGTAATACTTGTCAATATTTGTTTAATTAAAGTAGCAAATCTATAGCATGATGTCAGATCTGTCATTTCTGGTACAGCCACATGGACAGCCTTCAAACCAGATTATGATTTAAAGTTATAGCAAAAAAAAAAAAAACTCATGAACACGGATTTCATATCTATTTTGGGGGTTTTTTTCCTTTCCAGGGTGAGATAAATATGAAATATAAAACATGATTAAATCCACACAAATGGACTCTAAATGAGTATAAAAATGCAAATCAAGAATTGAAAAAAATAGGAATTAAAAGAGATGAGAGCTTGCTTTAAAACCGATTTGATTGTGGAAACATTTCACCGACATATCAACCAAAAATTAGCTTTCTGGGCACAAACCAGGAATTTATCCAGAGGAATCAAAGTGAGGCTTTATATTCAAAGAACATGGTCCCAGCTTTTAAGTGGTTCCATTTTAAGGCAGAAAATAGTCCATCAATCCATCAATTTTCCGTCACTCTTATCCCAAGCGGGGTCGGGAGGGGTACTGGTGCCTATCTCCAGGTGTCTAAGGGCGAGAGGCGGAGCACACCCTGGATAGGAAGTCAGTCCATCACAGGGCAACACAGAGACAAACAGGACAAACAACCATTCATACACACACTCACACCTAAGGAAACTTTAGAGAAGCCAATCAACCTAACAGTCATATTTTTGGACAATGGGAGGAAGCCGGGGTACCCTGAGAGAACCCACACATGCTCAGGGAGAACATGCAAACTCCATGCAGAAAGACAAATTCCCGGGCTGGAAATCGAACTTGAAACCTTATCGCTGCAAGGCAGCAGTGCTGCCCACTCATTCTATATGCATCGGCAGAAACTATAATGAATAAAAATGAGAATTACCCATCATTTCTTCTCCTTGACCTTAAATCAACAGGTAGATGATTAACACCTGGGCACAGTTGGGTGTTGCTGCAGCACAAATATGTAAATGGCTAAAAAGAAGATTTTCTGTCTCTGGTTTCTCTGCAGATTCTTATGGACAGTTAATTAAACATTGACAATGTGTTAATCATATGTTTTAGACAGTATACATATCTTATAATAAGTGGTGTAAATAGTAATCGATCATCCGATGCATCGACACGTCCGCAAGAGTATTCATTCATGTTTTTTTTTTTTTTCCTCAAGTCTATTTTTATCTATTTGCTCCTGGATGTAATTCTGACTCCCGTGCTGCGGTGGCGCTAAACCTATTTTGCCCTCCTGCCTCGCTTCCTTTAGCCACTACCCTCTTTCCACTCGCTCACTCACACTCAGGATATTATTTTTCAGTGACTGAGGTTTTAATAGGCCTAGGTGGAGTACAACTTTCCAACTTCTATTGTTTTCTGTTGTTTTTTAAATAAAATGCATAACGATATTACAGGTTTCATTGATTTATTTCAAATTTGAAACACTGTCTAGCCTGTAAGTAAAAAAAATATATATTACCCAATTAATCGAATTGAATTGTATCATGGTGTATTCTTGATTATCGAAAATAATAAAATTTTTGGATCAGGAAATTGATACTGAATCAAATCGCCACGATGGATGTGATTTACACCCCTACTTATAATTTGTATAGATAAGAGAAAATACACAATACATTCAAACTTTTACACAATACTAAGGTTATGTGTGGCATTATTAGCCTACCCTGGTTAAAAAAAAAAAAAAACTTTAAATGTGCTACTAAAAGCATATAAAAAATAGAGAAATATCCTAATTAACTGTTTATTTATCTTGGTATAAACAAATGGCTTTAATTAATAAAGCATTACCATAAAATACAAAAGAAAAGGAAAGGCTTACATTGATTGATGAATTGCTTATTTGCTCTGATGAGCCTTAGAAAACACCATCTGCATCATGAATCTATTCATCAAGCTAAATTTGCAGCAAAGCTTTCATTTAATGCCCAAATTAAACTGTTCTAATCTAAACCAGACTTACTGCAGTATTCTCCTGCTCCTCCCTGTCGTTAGAGTCGTATGTGCTGCAGGAGTTAGAGTTTTGGTCCGTTTGCCTCCTCTCATTGAGGCCATCCAATTTTTTCATCAGCAACATCATGGAGTCACATGCCTGGGCACAGAAGACAAAACATGCAAATAAAGTTAGTTTAGCTCAAAGAGAAACTGAGATCATTCCTGCTCTCCCAATTAGCTCAGCTTTGATGAACCAAAAACCAAATTATTCTTTTCCATGTTCATTGATTCCAACCTTCTCTGCTTCAGCAGGCAATATTGCTTGAAATCCTAATCGCAAATTTTTTTTTCCCTACAAAATCTTATAAATTTTTCTCTCTTAATTTTCATTATAAAAATTACAAATGACATATTTCTTTTAAAAACCATCAACCATCCCCTCTGGGAGGTGACCTTGAATTAATAGGCAACTAAATCAGACTGTTAAACAGTGAAGCAGGCTTGTAAAGAAATCACAGCTAATGGTGTCACACAGAGAGCTGGTTTATTAGTTATGATTATAAAGTTAAGAAGAAACGATGATGGGATGATGTCACTCTAATCTATGGAAGGAAGTGCTTTGGTGGGCAAAAAAAAAAATGAAATCCCAAAATGAAATCCTCACAAACAAAAATACAATTATAGTCAGGTTTTGTGGAGGTTTTTAAAGGACCCAAATATAGAGACGGAAGCTGAGGCGGTTTCTTGCAGATTTAATACAGGATTTAAGGCAACAGAAGCAAAGTCAAAACACGAATGCAGAAAACCAAAAAAAAAAACAAGAACCGTCAGGGAAAACACATACCAGGAGCCAAGAAACAATGAGGAACCAGCGAACAGTAACTGAAGAGCAGGAGTATAAATGTGAGATTGAGCAAAGACCAGGCTAATCAGGAGATTGGGAGCAGGTGTGGATGGCAGAACCTAGAAGGGAGCTAGGAGAAAAAGACTGACACAAGAGGGCATCAGAGGGTAAACAAGAAATACAAATACAACCAAAAACAACTAGAACAACACATAATGGAAATAAAGCCAATGAAAACTTAAAAAGAAAACTTAAACTGAACTAAAAACATTAAAATTATTGATTTATCTCCCAGCCCAAGCTGAAACTTGATACACAACTACACTATGAAGAGGTTGACAAAAAAAGAAGGCCATTTCCAAGACATGAAAACATAATGTTAGACCTTGTATTTGTCTATGCTGTTATCTAAAAGTCTAAATAAGTCCTACATAATTTCTCTTCAGAAAGTGGTAATAGATTCTGACTGAGATGCTTGTTCACTGGCCTTCCAGGAAATGAACAAACTACTTTGTTTCTGAGCCCTGATGCCAATCCCAGAGTCCCATAGGCTGATAGCAGCGCATAAAGCCCCTTTGAAGGGCCTGAAGTCCAAAAACAGCCCCCTCACTTACACAGCAACATGCATACACACAAGCATGCCCTCACAACACAACCCACCCACTCATCTACCCACTCGCTCTCACAAACACACCCTTTTCTCCAGTCCCAAAACTATCATGTCGACCAGCTTAAAAAATATCTGCAGTAAATGCTTTGGCAGTAAAACCATTTCCTGTGTGTTTCGGCCCCCCCGTGCCCCCCAGATTCCTACACAGCACAAGAGCACAGAGGGCTGTCTGTGCACAGTAGGGTGCTATTTTTACCCTCACTGTGGGGGACAGATCCAGGGCGAGGTGGGGGAACACAGCCACTGGAGGCTTTTCAGTTATAAGAATGACTGCCAGCATGTACGCATGGTGAAAGTCACTGACACATAAATGTGCGAAAGCGCAACAGCACACACACAGACACACACACACACAGAGCAGCATGCTCTCAAAGTTCATGAAATGTTAATAAGATTCTGTCCAAAGGGTCCAAAGGGGGAAAAGGCTATTAATGCATCCAAACTAAAACACCAAATAATCATTGGTCTCTAAGGAAGGAAACAAATGTTATAAATAATTACACAACACTTGTTCTTTTTTTGAAAATTCACCTTTGCAACTCTGCTGAACAGTTTGACCTAATTGTAAACATTTATATTGAACTCCAGGATTGAAACCAAGCTTTTTTTTTTTTACTGCTTTCCATACTTGTCAGCTCTGCAGATACAAATCTGTCATCGCTGTCAATCTAAAATCTACCATTGCCCACAGACAATGGCAAGTTGACAGTTTAGTTTTTGTATGCTCATCATTAAACATTACAGTTGACACCATGGGGCCTCAACAATAAATAGCAAGATGGTTGTGTTATATAGGGTTAAAAAGTAAAGTGTGTCTTTACCAATTTCATCTCAGAATATATGATCAGCAATCATCTGTGAACCAAATCATTAATACACTGTTTGTCATTTTAAAGCAAGATGGACCAAACACTTAACCTGTTACATACTTGCTACATTTTTTCTATATAAAATAGATTCTAATCTATATCTGATCATTCTTGAATATCATTATTTGATCCATGTACTTTTCCCTGGATGAGAGCCGAATTATCAGATCCTCTAGAGCACTGGAGAAATACTCATTTTAAATGATAATAATTAATTACTAATAACCATTTCCAAACCCCATCAAAATGTAAATTATAGAATATTGATTGTTTACAAGCTAATCTGCTAGAATTTTTTAAGGAACAAACACATTAAAATGTCTGGGTTCTGCCCTTTTTTTAGGTTTATTCTTAGTTTCTCTGTAATGTTGTGTCTTTGTAGTTATTTTCTGGCAGTGTTGTGTTATTTTAGTTACTCTCTGTTGCCCCCTTGTGCCAATTTCCTTTCCCTTGTCTCCCTTCTAGTTACCGTACTTCTTTCCAAACCTGCTCCATATCAGTTCATTAGCGCGTTCTTTGTTCTGTTCCCCATATGTACACCACCTCTGCAGTTCCTCATTGTTGGACTCTCTTCAATCCTAAGTATGTTCCTCCCCAGTGCCTCATTGTTTTGGTTCCTAATTTCCCAGTCTGGATTTATGCTTCTTTTGCCATTAATTCCATTAAATCTGCAAACTCATCTCTGCCTCGACATCTCTGCATTTGGGACCTTAAAAAATCTACACCAAACCTTGACATAAAAAGTGAACTATACATTTCCTCATTGTCTTTTTATATATATATATATATATTATTTGAATGTCCCCACAGAAAAAAAGTGTCTCAATCAAAAAAGGATATTTTGACTAACTATTTGCTCATTTATAAATTACCTACCGGTTATTCTCTTTCTTGAACAGATCATTTGTGATGCAAGGCTAGAAAAGCACTGCTGCTGTTCAAAATCATAAGAATCTGTCAGGGTTGTTTTTTTTCCCTCTAACCCGCACAATATTCATAACAGCCTGAAACAAAAGTCTGCAAATTACTTAAAAATGAATATCTATATATTATAACTCCAGGAGAGTCAAAATGTCTCTGTAACTCAAACAACAGCTCAGAATCTTAAACTAGCGGGTATTTAAATAGATTTTTCTGTAAGTCTGCCAATAAGTTATTCTTTAGCCTAACCTTTCAAACAACATCACATCAGACATCATCCTTTCATTTCTGGAGGAGTGGAGGGAGAAAAGTGCCAGAGATTGGAGGGGGGGGGACTCTGACAGGTGGGAGCACAAAGTTAGGGACATGTTCGCTCTAAAGAATGACTGCTGGTGCTCTGCATGAAGGGTATAACAGATGCCAGGCTGTGCAGGAGGAAAATATGAAAGGAATTTATTACAGGCGGTAAGATTTCTGATTAGGCCACTTAAGGACACTAACTACACTAAGCTAAATAAAGGGGAAAACCTGTCATTTTTTTGTCAAAAATAACTTAAAATCTGAAATATGTGAAAAAAAAATGTAATTAAAGTTTATGCAATTTCTAAAATCCAACATTATTGACATTTTCCTCTGTTAATTTATGTTCTTACAATATGTTATTTAAGGTCATGGTTCAGTCAGAGCTGATATTATGCAGAACAAACTCTTGACACTCTGCAGATAAATTGGGTCATTTTGAAGGATTTAGAAAAATTAAACTATGCTGCCCTCTAGTGGCTAACAATTTATCACAGTTAAAAACTGTTAAAATTGCCCATATGCTAAAAAATAATTTGAGAGAGGGCTGGGTTTTATGCCTCTATAAAAGCTTTATGTCTCAAACTGTCTTAAACTTTAAGGCTAAAAGCTTCCATTAAATTTAATTCTGACCAACACAGTTTAATGCATAAGTAAAAGCTACACATTCATATCTGTACAATTAAACTCTTATAAATGTGAGTAATATTTGATTCTTATGACAATATTGTGCTTAAAATTCATCGTTTTACTTTGCTTTGAAGCAAATTAGAAAGCTCATCTATTATTTACCTGCCATGCATCCTCCTCTTCTGTGCTCCCTGCTGATTCTGGTCTCCTCCTGTTGCTGGAAGTCTTTTGCCAGTCAGCTGTCTGGACATGAGACAGGAGCTCGGGCCTCTTCCTTAGACACTTCCTGTTTCTGTTCAAGTTCCTACGATGTCGACTGACCAGAAATTCCTTATATTGTAAAGTCTCAGGAAACTCATCAACATCTGCATCATCATCTTCGACCCCTTCTCCTTTAGAAGTGGATGAGGATGAGGAAGACTCCCTCCCATCAGAACTCTCATTTACAAGAGTCACATCGTTGTCAGAGCTGCCTTCGTAATCACAGAAAACAATGGCACTCGGTTTGTGTTTCACTATTCGAAGCACATCCAGCGAAGTGTCTTCTGGTGAATTCATATACTGAGACAGATGGCTGTCACAGGACACATCCAGGATTGGGGAGATGGCAGAAGGGATCTCAGCAGGAAGGGGCATCGCTGTGGGTCGGTCTTCCTGCTGCTCAGCACCTGCAGCTCTGCTCTGTTTTACATTCTGTTCCAAAAATAAAGACTCACACTTAACAGCATATCCACCATGCATATCTGTCACTCCTAAGCCCTGATCAGAGCTCAGAGGGCTTTCTGCACCCCGGCTGTGCTTAGAGTAACCATTCTGTCTGAGGCCAGACCGGTCTGTGTTGCAGGATGACGTGCTGTTGATTTTCTGATCCTTCTGCTGTTTAACGTGGCGGGACGGAGGATCCAGAGGGGCATCAGAGAGAGAAGCAGGTCCAGACATGGCTCTCAGTTGGCTGCTGGAGTTTTGTCCTTGCATTTCAGAAATACATCCACAGCCTGGGGGTAAATATACCTGTTAGGCTGCTGTTGAACAGGCAGTGCAATCACTGAGCTTGGAAGCATTACCACTGATCTCCCTCTTAAAAAGGCCTGCTATCATGATGTCACCTTATTGAATCAGGAGAAGCTGCTGAGCTTAAATCACAAGTTTAGTCCGGACCTCAGCTTGAAGCCATGAATCCTTTGGATTCCTGCACACAAAAGAATCAAAGACAGAGATTAGTGAAGGCTCACTTGTGCAAACATAAGCAAATATACTGCAAGCACATATCATAAAGCTGCAAGTCCCTGGATTTACAAAGAGATTAAAATGCTTCAGATTCTAAAGAAATGACTCCAAGTCAAACATTTTGTATATTTATGGCAGGAAAATTAGTATTATGATTTATTAATAGATTTAATCTACACAGAATTCGTGCAACCCACACAATTTAGCAATTAGAAAACAACTTTTGAATGTGTTTTTTTAATAGCAGCAGCCCTGAATATATTTATTGAGTCTTGAGCCTTGAAAATTCATTTCACTTTTAATGGAGCAGCACAATGCTAAACAGAAAACTTTCTGAAAATAAAATCATTTCATTTTTAAACACAATCCCGTTCCCGTGTCAAAATTATTGTTTGGTGAAATCATCTTTTGTCAATAAGAGAACACAACTCATTCTTCTGTGACAGAGAAAGATCACTGACAGTTTTTTTTTTTTTATATATATTTTGGTCTAAGTTCCTCTGGCGGTACTTAGTGTGCCTTTAGTGGTATTTTATCTACCAGGTATATAGAACATAACATGATTAATACACTCTTCTACCAATTTCATTAGGGAATGAAATACTGTATATTGTTCCAGTTCGGATCTATCAATCAATGTTCCATCATCCTGTACAAGCTACGACAGATTTATTTTGTTCCAAATCAATAAAACTCGGTCAAACAATTTTAACCAAAGACATTTTTATGGCGCTGTTTGGGTGCAAAGTAGCCATATTGAATCATGAGTTTGATCTTAAAGAAAAATCTCTTATGATGCAACATATTCCAGCGTAGCATCTCTCATAAACTCTAGCAGTATCAGTGATAACCCTTTAATTTACCCGTCTTGTTCTAATGCTATTTCTAAATGCCTGTCAGTGTAGAGGTCATTTGAATCATTTCTGATGTACTGAGCCTGTGGTGGTTAAAAATCTGTGATAACCTGATAATCTGTGATATCTGTGGTCTAGATCACTAAGCGCTTTCAGTCCCTCTTTTAAACTATCCTGTATATTCTTCTCTAGGTTTTAGGTCTGGAGTTTGAAATGGAGGGTTAGGTGACCCCTAAAGAGGTTTAGATAATTTGACCCTATATTTTTGGATATTTTCCTACTAGAATATAAATATTATTTATTGTCTCTCAGAAGAAGCATATAGGATGACTACAAATAGGTGATCTTGGTGCATAATAACAGCTTGTCGCTCCAAATAACTCCAGGGAGTTAATCATTTTGTGCACTCCCAAAGGCTTTCAGAGACATTCGGGGGAGAAACAGGCCCACACTCTCACAGACTATAATCAAAGGGAACATGAGGTTCTTATTCTTCATATTTATCCTTTATTTCATGTCTAAACAACTTTGGATGCTTTCATCATAAGGTTCAATTTTGGTATCATTTGACCAAAGAGCAGTTTAATCTAAAATCCCATAGAATTTAAGTTAAATCTATAAGAGGCGGTTAGTAGGTATATTGGATGGGACGTTATGATGACTTGTTGACTTGTAGGATTACGCTCCTAGCTGTAGTTCCCTAACATGAAGCTATCTAGAGGTAAAAATTTTATTTCAGATTTTATGACATTACATGTTTTTTTTAAGATGTCAATTAAGAATGTACTCAAAATACATGTTTTTGTTTTGTTTTTTCAGGATGAGATAATAGTAATGCACTAAAAGATGACTGAATATGCCTTTAACACACCTTCACCCTAATTATAAAGTTAAGATAAGATAAGATAAGATAAGATAAGATAAGATAAGATAAGATAAGATAAGATAAGATAAGATAAGATAAGATAAGATAAGATAAGATAATCCTTTATTTGTCCCACAGTGGGGAAATTTCAGCGTTGCATCACAGTGAACAGTACAGTAGGAAAAAAAGAAAGAATACAAAATATAAAAAAAATTTAAAATATATTAAAAATATACATTAAGTATATACAGTTGAAACTTAGATCTTATTTTAACAAACTACTTTCTTTGTTAGGCAAAGTTCTTGCCTTATAGATTTATTCTGTTTTTGGTTTGTTCATCAAACTATTTTTTATGTCAAGCAAAGATAACCTTAGCAAACGTAATTTTCTCTTTTCAAAGAAAAATGCCATCCAAGCCTTCTTGTCCCCATGTGAAAGAAGAATAACACCTAAACTGAAAAACAGCCTCCTGCTCCTTTGAAAGCAACAACTGCCATAAGGCATCTGTCATAGTTTTAAAATGAAATTGTTTTAAAACCTACCTTTGGTTGGTTTTAAAGGATGAAACAGAATGTATGGGATCATGGGAAATGGTGCTGGGCATGATGAGTCCAAAACCTTCATTTGGTAAAACAATTTCTGTCACAATTAGTTGGTTAAGAGCAAAACTCCCACTATCATCAGCACCATTTTAGGCAGCAGGTTTTAAATTTGCAGCTCTACCATTGCAGCAATATTACCCAAGTCTTTTCTTGTTGTTGTATCCTGAGCATTGAAGAAAGTGAGTCCTGCAGACCGCAATTTATTTTCTGTTTTCATTTTTTTAACCCCCTGGGTGAGTTTTTGATGTGGTCTTTAGTTTTTCTGGCAGCCAAGCGAAGGTTCCCCACTATTCCATCTTCTCTCCATTAGTAGTTAATGGATCCCACTGCATGGAGTCCCAAACTTAGAAATGGCTTTGTAACTCTTTCCACAGTGATAGATTTGTTTCATGATTTCTCTCTTTTTGAGATCTTTTGCGAGACAGGTTCTTGGAGATGTCCTGGTAAGTAATTTACTGTGGATCTGTTGATCTTCAATAAAAAATGCTTTATTTATTAAGAGAAGTAGTTATAATTTCAAATTTGTTTTTTTTATATTGTATCTATGCTGAATGTTATTGCCTGATATTGAAATATGTTTGTTGATTCGAAAATAAAGTGACAATACGCAAAAGAAATCTATGAGAAATACGTACTAATAAAGTCTTCATTCCTTACCTGTTTCTTATGTTACATCTGATCTATTGGATTGAATGGAAATTGGCAGAAACATTTATCTTTACAGCCCAGGCTGTCAGATATTTTTCTTCCATTTTCTTCACAAAGGCCTTTTTTTTAAACACATTGTTTTTTCCTGGTGGATTGCTATTCTTGGCTGCAGCCATCACACCCTTTCCTCGCCTGCGTCTGGGGGTTCTTTTTCCTTTCCCAGCAAGAAGCCTTAAAATTGGGGTCAAAATCGTTTAAAAAAAAAAACAACAGCAACCAAACACTTAGATTATATTGCAGCACACGTAGGCGAAGCAGCAGGAAACCTTTTGCAGAGACACGTCATAATAAATGCTTCAGTCAGAAAGTTGAGATAATCTCACTGTGAGATAACTGCTGTGCACAACAGCTCTATGGGTGCAAACTTCTACTTAAAAACATTTGGAAGATCTGCGTGTTTTTTTAAGGTAAATATTAAATTCAGATTTAAACATACCAGACTTTTTCACAGAAGCTGAAGCCCTCTTCCATTACAACACCCTGACATACAGGCAGCAAACAGATGTATCCTGCAGAGCAGACTCAGCACTGACAGCAACGATTCAGAGAGGGAGTTTATTTGGTGTAAAGATGTAAAATAGTGAGAGGGGAGGGGAGGGGGAAAAAAAGGCAGAGGAATGTGTTTCCCTCCTACATTACCTCAGCGAGAAGAGAGGCAGGTGTTTGGACTGCTCTGGTGTGTGTGTGCACGTGAAGGAAGTCTATTGTTTAACATGTGACATACAAACATGCAAACAAAAAATGACCCAGCTTACACTGATGCATATAAACAGATCAGCAGACTCCTGCTCCTTCACCCTCCTCGTTACGCCTTTTTTCCATCTTTGCCAAGCAGCATGGCTTAGGGCAACGGATTTTTCACCTCACATGCACATTCCTCAACAAAGCATGAGGTCATTCTTTAAAATGTTATTAACCCCTGTTGGTATATTCCATATCTCATGCTTTCAGAGCCACAGTAGCAAGATAAAGGATTGGTTTTTGCAGTGCTGTCGACAGGCTGTGGAATTCCTCAGGTTTGCCAGAAGGAAATCAATTTTAACGTTTTGGAGGGAAAATCTCTGGTCAGGAGTGAAGACCTGCAATTTGGACATTAGGATGAAAATGGATGTTCTTGTTGAGGCCTGTTTAGTGAGTGAGGCGTGTTGTCAAAGAGGCAGAATGACTTTGACTAAAACAGACATTTATTGTCATTTTGTATACAGAGAATGTATGCAAAGCGAAATTTCATTTTGTACAGCTCTCATGACGTTTCCATGTCTTTAAGTGCAGCAGTGATCAGATGTAAAAATTGTAGGAGAAAAAAACCTATTGCTATGGTCAGTTTGATGCAGAGTCTGTGACATGATTTAGAGTTTTTGTAATGACAGCTATATCAGAGAATATCTAATATTTATATAAATATCTAAAGTATTTAAAAGGTCCTGTTAAAATATGCAAAATATATAATTACAATCAAAATTTAAAAAACAACTTAACATTAAAAAAGCTAATCACAAAGTACTGTTTAAAATGAGGGGCCACCTACTGCAACGTGATAATCCAATTTTCTGCCTTACAGATAGTTTTAGTTTTCTTTTTTTATGTCAAACTTGAAATGCTTTAGATCATCAAACAAATTAATTTCAGACAAAAATAACCTAAGTAAATAGAAAAAAGAAAATAAATATTTTTAAAAAAGGCAAAGGGATATCCTAACCACCACCATTAACATCAACAGCTATCATCACATTGTGATAATCAGGAATAGAATGTATAAATCACTGCGTAGAAGATTTTGCCTTCTCTTTCATTAACCAGTGTGGAACATGTTAGGACATGAAATGCTTAACTCAGTCTAATTAAAGTTAAGACTGTTATGTCAGGGATGAACTCCATCTTTGCTTTGTATCAACCCAAATGAAATCAATCTTAAGTTCACAAATGAATAGACGGCCCTCCTCCTTCAGGAAGTTAGAGCAGAACAATTCATCAAACTATAGAAGAACCGAAGCTACTAAAGCTGCTACCAATACCATATTTCTCTGCTCTTGTTCTCTTTCTAAATTTCTGCATTTGTTTGAAAACATATAACAGGACTAACACCTTCTAGAAAGTTCCACTTTTGTCTCACAATATTTTCCCAAAAGTCTCAGGGATCATAGTCTGTTATAGTTTTCAACATGGAGCTCTTAATTACAACTAAGTCCTGATTTTAACAACAGGAACAATTTATTTGTCACATAGGACCAGATTAGTACTGGTTGTTTTTCAAGATATAGGTAATCATTTCTTTCAAGAAATATGTATAATAGGCGTAAATAGATGTTTCTCACCTAACTTTTTGACCAACTCTCTCACTTACTTTCATCATTTTCACTCTTCTTTTCTTTTTTAGCATCCATTGCATTAGAAATAACCCTAATGCATTTTCAACAGACAGACTGACGGACGGACAGACAGATTTGTTGACTTTATTTTTAAAATCCCTCTGTTGAAACAATTGGAAAAGCAATATCTGACCTTAATTTACTAATTTCCATACAATTTTTATTTATTATTAATTTTGTCAAAGTATAGTTATTTTTGTGACTATTGTTGGTTTTAGCCGTCCTTTGCTGTCCTTGTATATATATATATATATATATACACATATATACACATACTGGAAAATAATCTAAATTTAGATAAGTCCTTCTTTCTTAAAATAAATGCATTTGTTCTTGAATTGGGGAGGTAAGTTTGACATTTTGCCAATAGAAGTTGTAAATTTACATTTAAATAACATTTAAATAAGAAAAAACAATTGTATTGTCTTATTTTAAGTTCTTATTATCTAATCATCTTATTACCTACTCAAACTAAGGGTAAATACACTTAATTTAAGAAATTTTGACTTTTTGCAGTATACTGCAAAAACGATCTAAATATAAGTCAAAAATAAATAAATAAATATATATATATATATATATATATATATATATATATATATTT